ACTGAAGAGAGCTCAAACTGGGCACACAGTTGTTCCAGTCTGGACCAAAGACTCTATACTGGTCTGTGTTTATCTAACCTGTTCAGTGTGCTTCTCATCTTTGCTTATGATCGTGTGGTTTCACTGCTTTTTATTCTCAGATATACTAATGAGTGTCAGAGAAATTAGGATTTGTCTGTTTTCCATGCTCATGGCTGTTTAATTAAGAGTGAATGGTCCACAGTATGGTTATGGCCCAGTGATTTAGCCAAATTAAAAAAGAGACACTTTCATAACACTAGAAACTGACTTTAATCTTGACCAGCCCCACCAGAATCCGTGGGCCAACAGGGACCACTGGTCGCCTGTGGTCAGAAACAGCTGCTATAGTTCAGGCCTAACTCCAAACCAGATGACCCTGTGTCCCTCACCACCTCCTCCTTACTTTCTTTCTGATGTCTTTTAACTTGCATGGTTGCATGGTGCTTTTTTATAATGAATATTTTGTTAGATAATCAGATTTTGCTATAATGGGCCTACTCTACATGAAGGCCTACATCTGCAGTTTAATGCCACCACAATGTTTTTATCATGTACATCCACACACAACATGGTGACTAACCTCAAAGTTTCCAGTCTGCAGTATGGACTCTGCAGAAAACCACACAGCTGCTTCACTCCTGAATCTTGCAGCTTGTAATTGTGACACAGGTCCAGATGTTTCAGATGGGAGGGGTTGGACTTCAGAGCTGAGGTCAGATAAACACAGCTGATCTGTGACAAGCTGCAGGTGCTCAGCCTAAATAAAGAATAAAAGATATGTGTGTTGGATTTTTTACTTGAAATCATTCAGCGTTTTATAATGTAAATAACTTTATAATTTATAATTGTGTGCGCATGTTTGTTTCAATCACAGGCCTTTATGTTTCAAGGTTAAAAGAACAGTTTGAAAGAATTTCATATATGTAAATATGTATATGCTGCCCTCTGGTTTCACAGCATCAGCACCAGGACAGCAAAATCAGAGAAACCCAGAACAGCCCAGCTGCTCCAACCTTGACTATAAGGTCACTTCCTGTGTCTGTAACATCTTTGACCTTCCACTCTTCCAGCCAATCAAAAACAAAGCTGACCGTTCCTTTTTCCTTCTGCTCTCATTTTCTGAGGCTCTTCTTCACTCTTCAGGAGCTGTCTACCAGAGCTGTTGCCCATGAAATGAATGTTCATTTCTCTGCCATGAGCCATCTCCAAAGGCATTTCAGAGAATTTGGAAGTACCTCCACATCCAGCATGTTCACCTCTAGGATCATCTGAGACCAGCCAACGGGACAGTTGAGGCAACAATCGGTGTGTGGCATCGTATGGGTGAGCGGTTTGCTGACGTCACTGTTGTGGATCGAATTGCCCATTGTGGCGGTGCAGTTCTGGTATGGCCAGGCGTATGTTATGGACAACGAACACAGGTGTATTTTATTGCTCGCATTTTAAATGCACAGAGATACCGTGACAAGATCCCGAGGCCCATTGTTGTGCCATTCATTCACAACCGTCATGTTGCCGTATGATAAGGCACAGCCCCATATTGCAAAGATCTGTACACAATATTTGGAAGTATCGAGTATGTTTGGGATGGTCTGGATCCGGGGTATATGACAGCATGTTCCAGTTCCTGCCAATATTCTGCAAAATCAATCAGCTATCGAAGAGGAGTGGACCAATGTTCCACAGCC